GCAAGGTGCCCTCCCTGTCAGTAGGTGGCGCTTGCTTGGAGGGACAGGCTATGCTGTTGTTTTTGTGTCCTGTTATCAGCTCTTGTTCCTGTGGAGAGGTACTCTAGTACCTCAGGTGGTCAGTGGGGCCCTGGGACTTCCAGGTGTGTACTTTTCTCCCCCTCAGTGAGGACTGGTCTGGGAGAGAGTCTGGGAGGAGCTGGGTTTGGTAAGCCTGCCCTCAGGCACCACCAATACCTTTAGCAGGGGTCAAAGTTCTGTTCTCTGCTTCCAGGAAAAGGTGTCAGGGAGGGGCTGGAATGGCCCCACTCAATCAGAAAATCTGTGTGTGGGGGTGGGGCTGTCTGAGACCCGCAGTCTGGAGCGCGCTTCTTTCCACCCTCCCCAACTCCTCAGCTACTCCTGGGCCTCTGCCACCAGACCTCCCCGGACTATGATGCCGGTGGGTAGGTTCCCTGCACGGGAACGCCACCTGGGTTGGGTGTAAGGCCTCCTTTTGGGAGGAGGGTTGTCCTCTAGGACGCTAATCTGCCCCTGGAGGCACACACACCTCAGTAGGCTGTTCACATATATCCCTTCAGTGCCCCGGGCAATGCGAGACCTCGGTGCACGGGATCTGGTCTGCAGGTCTGACCTCTGGGTCCCAGAGTTCGAACTGTATCCCCACCAGGGAGAGCAGTGCCAGTCCCAATTCACCCACAGGGAGCCCAAGCTTGGTCTATGTCTCTAAGCCTCAGGGTCTGCACCATTCTCCTGGGATCACCATGCCAGCAGCACCTGGGAGGGCTGGTGGGTAGGGAGCTCACAGTCTGAGTTCCCCTTAGTCAGCTGTGGGTTCCCAAAAGGGAAGGTCCCGTTCCCTGAAGGTGCCTCCGGCTGGTGGCTATATTATCTCTTGGGCAGCCGTGGGTAGGGTCGGGGGAGGGGAGAAGGAGGCAATATGGGCCTGCCACGCGGCTCAGGTCTGTGCACACAGAGGCGCCCTGCGGGATTTGGGAGCCTGGTGCCGAGTCCACTACAGGCTTATCACTCGCTGGCAGCGGCCGTCTCTGGGCTAGTGTCCTCAGGTCTCTCCACCCACTGGGGAGCCCACCAGCAGTCCCAAATGCAGTAGGTGACTAACCCACCTACCCTTCCCGCTGGTCTCTGGGCTGCTCCTGCAGTCTCAGCTTCCAGTTCTCCTCCGCAACCTCCTCCCGTGGAGTCTCCCATGGTCTCAGGTAACCCTCCTTCTAACCCTCGTCCGCTGTATACTCATCTTCTTGCTTCTTTTTTCTAATTTCTGCTAGAATCTGTCTTTTCTGCAGAGACACTCTATCTGGCAGTGTTTCTAGTCCACCATCTTGATCCCTAGTGTTCGTTTTTAGTTGTCGTTTATGAATTCCATTTCTTAAATTTGTTTCTTCTTGTGCCAATATTGATATTTCTCTATTTGTGTAAAAATACAACCATTTATTTAATCATCTTTCAAATTTATTAGCATAAATTTACTCAGTAGTTTCTAAATTTTATCTATGTTAAATCAAGAATTATTTACCATTTTTGATATTAACTTTGAATTTATCTTTTTTCTTTATTACCCTTGCTGCAGTTTGCCCTAATGTTTTCAAAGCTTGTGACATTATTAACCATCTCAGATTTCTATTCCTTAATTTTTTTCTTCTTATTTCTTTAGCTTGGTGCCATTGTTCTTTGTCTAGCTTCTTGAATTGGCCAATTGGTTAATTAATTTCCCAAAGAATGTGCACACCTATAAATTTCCTTCTAAGGAAGGAAACTGTTTTAACATACCACAAAATCTGGCATGTAGTGCCTTCAATATCATTTAAGTCTAAATAGTTGAGATCCCTTCCTAATTTTCTCTGTAGCCCAAGGATTAACTTATAATTTAATTCCTAGATATGTTTGACATGCTTTTTTTTTTATTGTGGCTTTTCTTATGTTATTGACTGCAGGACTGAAAAACTACAGTAAGCTGCAGTCTTTGATTCTGATATTTCTGTTCTGGAAGTGCTCTGGAATGCAATGTCCCAAATCTTTGGACTCACAGTTAAGCTTTACTACTCAGAGAATGTCATATGCTTTGAGAAAAACTACATAGCAAAAGAATATGATTTTCTAAACCTTCACGTAAATTTAGGTAATTAAATGAAGAACAATTTCTCCCTTTTTTTCTGGGAAGAAACATTTAATACATTAATAACATTTAATACATTAATAACATTAATTTCCACACTAGTTTTATCAAGATTTTGAAGTATGTTAATGAATCTGAAGTTGATTATTTTCGTGAGAAGAATAATATCAGTTTGAGAGGATCTGTAGGGATTTGATCAAGAAACAGTTTCGCAAATATATTGTATATTATATCTTTGTGTTCATATTCATAAAGAAGCATGAATATCAAAGAGGAAAACCTTGAAGATGCTTTAAAAATAAAAGCCTGACTCATCTTTTTAGCTATAATCTGCTAAAACTCATGAGATCAAAATTATTCTCCATGAAATATAACTCTTTTAAGAATCCATTTATTTTAATTTTATAATATTCATATCATTTAAATACAAAGATAAACTTTTCTTCAAAGCCCCAATACCACATAAGAACACATAAGTAAGAATATTGTAACACTGATAAAGCATTTCATGTTTACATCTTGGTAGATATTGAATATACTAGCAGATTAGTAAAAGTAAATAAAGAGAATGGTAAGAAAAAGTATGTGAATAAAAAATAAAATAATGAGGTTTTTAAATTTATCAAAATTTACATCAGTGTACTTATTTTTTAAAAAGATATCAAATCAATAGTTACCATTTTTTACCAGATGACTATCCTGATATATTTATAAACAATGAAGACAAACTTATACCAAACAACAAAAACATTTTTCCTTTGAAAAGTTTGGTATTCTATTGCATTCCATCTGAACTCCAAAGTTATATTAGAGTCTCCATACCATAGTAGAAATTCGATTATGTCAACTGGGAAATTCACTAATTCGATAATCTGATGTGCTTTTAGAATACTAAAAATCTTAGTCATGGGTTTGGTGATGACAATCTGTTGTACCAGTTCTACAAGCAAATAAAAATAGAAAAGGTAGGAATGGCATTGAAAAAAAATGTTCCTTGGCTTGAAGCTATGCTCATACATTTACAACAAATTCTGAATCATTATTTGTAGGAAAAAGTTTACGGAAAACTCTTTTAAAAAGCAGTTTCTTGGATTCAATGAAAGTTCTGTTTCTCTCTATGGTTTGAAAACACTGAAAAGGAAAATGCAGCTAATTTTGTGATTAAGTATATTTTAGAATATATCACGTTTATCTCAAATTATATGTATGATTATCTCTTCATCCGTGCCCCTACCTACCCCTCTTTCTTTCTCTATTTCACAGAAAAAAACTATGACATCAACATCCAAAGGAATTCTCCGCCCATTTTTAATTGTCTGCTTTATTCTGGGCTGCTTCATGGCATGTCTGCTCATTTACATCAAGCCCACCAACAGCTGGATCTTCAGTCCAATGGAGTCAGCCAGCTCTGTGCTGAAAATGAAAAATTTCTTCTCCACCAAAACTGATTATTTTAATGAAACTACTATTCTGGTGTGGGTGTGGCCATTCGGGCAGACCTTTGACCTTACATCTTGCCAAGCAATGTTCAATATCCAAGGATGCCATCTCACAACAGACCGTTCACTGTACAACAAGTCTCATGCAGTTTTGATCCATCACCGAGACATCAGTTGGGATCTGACTAATTTACCTCAGCAAGCTAGGCCACCCTTCCAGAAATGGATTTGGATGAATTTGGAATCACCAACTCACACGCCTCAAAAGAGTGGTATTGAGCACTTGTTCAACCTGACTCTGACTTACCGCCGTGACTCAGATATCCAAGTGCCTTATGGCTTCTTGACAGTGAGCACCAACCCCTTCGTGTTTGAAGTGCCAAGCAAAGAGAAGTTGGTGTGCTGGGTTGTAAGTAACTGGAACCCTGAGCATGCCAGGGTCAAGTATTACAATGAGCTAAGCAAAAGTATTGAGATCCATACCTACGGGCAAGCTTTTGGAGAATATGTCAATGATAAAAATTTGATTCCTACCATATCCACTTGTAAATTTTATCTTTCCTTTGAAAACTCAATCCACAAAGATTACATCACAGAAAAGCTTTACAATGCTTTTCTGGCTGGCTCTGTACCTGTTGTACTGGGGCCATCTAGGGAAAACTATGAGAATTATATTCCAGCAGATTCATTCATTCATGTGGAAGATTATAACTCTCCCAGTGAGCTAGCAAAGTATCTGAAGGAAGTTGACAAAAACAATAAGTTATACCTTAGTTACTTTAACTGGAGGAAGGATTTCACTGTAAATCTTCCACGATTTTGGGAATCACATGCATGCTTGGCTTGTGATCATGTGAAAAGGCATCAAGAATATAAGTCTGTTGGTAATTTAGAGAAATGGTTTTGGAATTAAAATTTTTCATCATTTGCACACTTGATAAAATATTTTGATGCAATATCTTCCAACTTTTGAAGATAAGAAAAGAAATATAATAATACTCTACCTTTGGGTCACAATTTATTTTTATCACCTTCTCTTGGGTAACATGCATATTTTGGTGGTGATTTTTGAAAGCTCAGCATTAGCAATCATTCCATTTGGTTTTAAATTATCCTGTATATACCTGATTATGTGCACTGAAAAATAATTTATTCTTCACTATCATTCGTAAACATTGTTCATTCACATTTCTGTAGCTGTCCATAATGTAAGTTTCTGATTTGATTATTGTTTCTACACTAATCAGCTATTTAATCTATTTCAGAGATGAAGATGTTTATCTTAAAATATAAAAGATTTTCACTATTATAATCTTTAGTTCCAAGTTTGCATACTGTAACAAAGAAAGAACATATTGCAATTGAGTTCTAACCTCTCTGAATTCAAAGTTGAACAAAGTGTGTAACTGTCTCTATTTGATCTATTTTTTACCTGTTTACCACATTTGTGAAGGCAAATTTATTCATGTATTGAATAAGAAGGTGTGAAGCAGAGTTGTTCTATTTAGGAAGCTATTAAACTTCCCATTTATTTTCATTAAGCTGACTTGCAAATGAAACTACCTATTCCAATATCTAAAGCAGTTTTATTTTACCATATGGACAAATAAATAGACATAGCATTTATGCCGTCATTATCATTTGATTTAGTTCTTATCATTTAAGAGAACCTAAATAAACTTATCAACGTGTTAAATATAAGATATTAAATATAATAAAGTGGGGATCTCTACACAATGCTATGACAGAGTAGGATCTCAATGCGGATCTATTGAATGAATAAATGGCATTGAAAGTCATGGGAACATTTTTGTTTCAAACAAGTGACAGTTCTAGCTTAGATGTATTAATTGAAGATGATGTTTTATGTTCCATTTTAGTAATTATTCATACATGGCACATATGACAACGGTCTTCAGGGCTTTGGGAAACCAAAATAAACCTAGTTTTACACTAAATTATTGCAGAATTTATCCCTTAACTTGCAGTTGCCTACAGCATTTTCCTCCATAAAGTTAGAGAAGGGAGGAACTGGATATAAGCAGAGATGGTAGGTGAGAAGAGATGGAATGCTAATGATTGTTCAAGGAAAACATCCCCCAAAAGAATCATTAGTGGCTTTATTCTGTTCAGGCCCCAAATCTCTCAAAATAATTAGAATATTTATCCATTTAGGTCTATTTGTGATTTATTCTAACAGTTCTATTACATTTTGACTTAGTAGAACTCAAATCCACAATCTTCTATACCATATAGAAGTTAGAGAGAAATAAATTTCAATTCAGTAAGAAAGAGGTATGTTCAACAATTCCTTGTAAGAGAATGAACTTACCCTAGCACTGGAAAGATCTGAGCAGAGGAGTACTCCTGCATTGGATATAGGATTGTTTGATGCCCAGATTCATTTCTTTAGCCATAATTGAACAGGTATGCAGTATCAGGCAGTGCCCTAACTATCACAGAGATAAGATGAAAAGGTACTATCACTGCCTTAAATGAGCTTACGATTAAGTGGATAGACATATGAAAGCTTCCTTTCAATTCCAGCTCAAGTGTATGTTTATTCACATACTACTCTCAATGGAGTATATTTGGGTCACTACTGATTTAATGAAAAACAAGTAGCAAATTTCCCCAATTGCTTAGCAACTTTACATGTTTCTGAGCTGTAAACTTGGTCTACTCATTTGACCCAACATAGAATCCCTCCATATTACCCCTTCTAATCACGCTGCATTAAAAAAATGTCTGTGTGAATTCCCTCCTAGATAAGTAAAGATCTCCCACATTTATTTTATTGTTAAAATAATCAAATTCATATATTCACATTTGCTTTGTCATTTTCAACCTGTAAAAAGTATACAGATCTTAAGAGGATGCAGGATGCATTGGTAAACAAGTTTAGAAAGCACCTTCTTTCTTTGAAAGCAGAAAAGCATTCAATATGAGTTCAACTCATGATTTCAAAGAACTAAAAGACTGGAGGGCAGTTGCCTCTATTGTTGACCATGAATTTACACTCTCTCTTGGACTGTGACTGTAATCAAATGCTGACATAATATGATTCAAGCCAAAACAATACTATTAATTGACTAACAGGTACATTGAAAATCCATTACCAAGTCCCAGAAGAAAAGTTTTCTGAATTTGAAGTGGAAAATGAATGACTCAACTGAAGCTTTCAGTTCTGTATCCATTGATTTATGAGTTTTAGGGCTAGAAGGAATTATAACTATGTTTACAAACTACTATCTTCTATTTATGAGTTTAACTAGATCCAGAGGTATTACTTATTCAAGACACATGTTCACACACATACATACACGCATATGCACAACAGCTAGTGAAAGTAATTAGGATTAGAATTTAAGGGTCCTACCTCTCTTAATCCCACTTTTGTTTTCTATCACATTCCCTCCTTATCATAGAAATATATCTCAATTCATATAAATGTCAAAGTCTTATTGGTATTATTTAGGGACTGTAGAATGGTATACTCTGTGCAGAACTTTTACTTTTGAAGGTATACATTTAAAAGAAACCCAAACTTGTTAGCATTCTTCCTGGTTTAAATATTTTAGGAGTTGAGCTTAAGCAGAAGGAAATGGGTTTTCACTGAATTTAAGTGAAATGCAACCCTCAAGAAAGTGTACAGTTCTCAGCCACTCCTTCACTAAATCCTGTGGATTACAATTCTTTAAAGAATATCTCATGCAAAAGATATATTGATTTACAAAATCAGCCTTTTACTGGTTATAAAAACTTATAATTATGCCTGAGGTTGAGTGTGGATATAAAAATAGAGCAGACCATTTAAAATGTTTTATTTCAAAATATCATAAAGTTATTACCTTCAATTGTCTGAATGTTTAAATATTGATTGTATACCTCAGTAAGAATAGTTACATATTACTCATTGTCAGCCTTACTAATAAGAATATATACTGAATTGTCCACGTCCATCAGTATTACAGTCTGAAAAAGAAAGACATGACAGTCACATGTATTATGACAGGTTTATATTTGACACTATGAAGTAGAATTGAAAAAAACCCTAGTGAGAAACTAGTATAAGTTTAAAATTTGTATATTTACTGTAAAAACATGATAATTGTAGAATGTGCAGAAATGTTTTCTATTGTGAGGGTGTAGAAAGTTCAGAGCATTTAATGTGTAAAGCAATGGAATATTTAGGAATTATTTGCTGAGTCTTTAAATTCTTGCCTCCAATTGGAGGTTAAATATGAAAAGAATAGGAAACTATGCTACCGATATTTTTTTGACAGCCTATTTTCAAAATAGATTCCATGAGTCTTAAGGTAATCACCTAGAAATTTTTTTTTTGCATGAATTAATGTTACTAAAACAAGTTTTACATCCTCACATTATGACTGTACTTGATCATATTTTTGAGCTCCCTTAACTCTCATCTCATTTAGGGGAACTTCTCAAGAAATTACAATCGAGCTGTTAAATAGAACAAAATTCAGAATCTAAAGGATAAGCACAGTTCCTAATGCAGAGGAGGGTCTCAACAAATACTGTGAAAAATAAATGAATGTCATTAGTGGTCATGCAAAATATATTTTTTACATGTGGTGACAGTACCAGCTTATTGGTACAAACTGGAGATAATATTTTATATTTATTTTATTAGTTTGCTGCCTGGTTGCAGCAAGAAGTCATACTTGTCTTACCACATGCTAAAGCCCCAAAAGAAACAACATTGCAAGAAAAATTAAAAAGAATTTGGAACATGTTAACATTCTATTCAAATATTAATAACATATTAACTGTTTCTCAGGAAAGAAATTTATTAAATTTTCAGGAAGGAAAATTTGTATTTAAGGAGAATATAAAGTGCAAGAACTGTGAAGGGCAGATATCTAATACCATACTATGCATGGAGAGAAATATGGTTTCTTTCCTCCCTAACTTCTTTCCATTGTATTGCAAACATCAGTCAATTAAGAATTTTTTTTTTTGGCTTTCTCTCATCTAGAGATTTTGTAGCATTTTGCACATGGGAAAGCTTCACTACTACCCAAAGTGTTCTCCCTCTTAGTAATTCATATTGAATGCATCCATATTTATAATCATTTTAAAAAACAGTTAACATAACATAAATGAGGGGTAGCGTGCTAAACTGGAAATATGAATTCTACCCTGGGTTATTAGTTCAACAAACTCTAGTTTTGGGAAAGCCACTTAACCTCTCTGGACCTTGTTGTTTGTAAGGTTCATTCTATCACTATTACTTTCTTGTCTAAGATCTAAATTGATATATGCATACATTTGCAAATACAATTTCAATGACCATCTCAAAATAATTTTTGAAAATAAATACTCGAAACAGATTCCCCTTTTTATTTCTCTATATAGACAGTTAAAGTATAAAACTGATTATTTAAACTAATATATGGAAAAATTCTAATGCAGAATTGCAATATAACAAATGCTCAATTAACTAATCTTCCTCCTTTATTTCTTCCCTCCCCTTAGTTGTCTACCAATATTTTTTGAACTCACTACTCAATAAAAACTTAATTGCCTGAAGAAAACCAATGATATATTGGGCATTATTTTGAGATATTTTAGATTTTTCTGTACTATCCAAAGTCATTATAATAATCCAAAACATTAATTGATGCAAAAATTTCAGGAAGGCAGTGGAAACATACAAGACAATCCCTAACTGATAAAAAAAAAAAATAGCATAGTTTGAGTAAGCTGGATTTAATACATTTAGGAAATTTAGTTATTTTTAAACTTAAGGTTAATATATGTTCACATACTTCATTTACTTTGAAGATATTTTGATTTAAAAAAAGAAATTTTCCAACACTAGTCGCCTTTAGTCAGTGTTACTCAAAGCATGGTTCCTAACTCACCTCACCTAGACTTACCAGAGGTATTTATGAACAATACTGGTTCCTGGGCCCTGCCCCATACAAATTAGAATCTCTTCAAATTGGTTCAATAAAAGAGCATGTTTTTTTCTAATACATTTGCCATATCATTCTGTTCCTGCTGTACTTGGTGAACCACTCTATCTTAAATCAGTGGTTCTCAAACACACATATCTTTGGGACTTCTAGATTAACACATAAAAAACCATTTGAGAGATTGTTAATAATATACAACCTCTGAGTCTCTGGGTCTGAGATGAGACCTGAAATCTTTATTTTAAAAATCTCCCCAGATGGTTCTGATGGGCCACCAGTTTTGAGGTTTCTCATCCCACTTCTTAAATGAGAAGTATTCTATTACTCAAATAATATAAGGTACTGCCTTTCTTGAAGGGTTCCTCTACTTCAAGCCAAATTATTTTATGCATGAGTGTGGAACTCACTGACCAATTTTGTGATTTGGAGCAGGTTATCTATAGTCTAGCAGGGGTCCTCAAACTTTTTAAACAGGGGGTCAGTTCACTGTCCCTCAGACCGTTGGAGGGCTGTTGGAAAGTGTGGTGCACATTCCACACATGCACACTGTGGGCCCAGGACGAGGCGTAGTTTGGGGACGCTTGAGCCTACA